TTAGATCAAACCTTCAATGGAATAAGAACTCAAATCTCAAACTTAAATAAAAACCCCTTGATAATGTAGTTGAGAGAGATAGCATCTCCTTTCTACACCTTAAACCCTCTAGGCATAATTCAACAAGATGGGAGAGAGAGATTAAGACACCATGAGTGGGGCGTGCCCCTGCCTTACCATAGGGGGAGAGAGAGTTTCTATGAGAGAAAAAGAGAGGGTTTCCTTCTAAGTGGGGTGTGCCCCCTATTTTTCATGAGAGAGAGAGAGAGAGAAATTGATGTAAAGAGTATTGGGTAGGGTCCATCCCTTTTATAATGCTTCAAAGGATTTTAGGTTTTCTTGGGGTTTCCCATGGTTTCAAAGCTTCCTCAAAACACAAGTTTTCCGAAACACACCACATCTTGGGCTTCAAGCCAAATCAGTTGATCACAACAAAATAGAAAGATCCCAAGTGGTGGGGTGTACCACCCATGATGGCATCTCATAGGCCCTATCAACTTGTCATGGTGGGCCCACATGCACAAATGGGCCCCCATACAATTTTGAATAATTTTACATTCAGATAAATGTTTTTAGAATTTATGAAATCCATTTGAATATTTAAATTAATGTAAAATCAATATCTATGTTTTTATAAATCCAAAATTTATAAATAAAATACCCAAATATTTAGAAAAACCAAATAACAATTTTAAAACTAATATAACATCAAAACAAACATAATTAAATATTTTTGATGGAAAAATGATCCATATGGTCTAAGAATAAATAAATATACGTTGGGGCACTCCACCTTCTACTGTGGACTACGGTCCACACTTGCTTTTTCAAACCGCTCCATGACCCACAGTACATACAGGAGCTCATTAGTGGGTCACCAAAGTCTAGCCAATGGGCAAGGAGTAGTAATCTTAATCTATGAATTTCAGGTTCACTCCTAGAGATGTACCAAGGTCACCTAGACCTGATGCAATCCACAACTCTATGACGCATAGAGGTTATCTCTCGTACATGCACAAGCTTCATCCTGAAAGGTGGTTCGTTTTCTCGAAAAATAGTTATCATATGTGCATGTCTTGTGATGGTACGCATATGAGGCTTTGCCCCTGTCTTTTAAGGCCTTAATCACATACAAAGGTCACACAATCCCTCGGCTTACTCTTCCAGCTATACTCCGACCTCATCAAGGGATGACCCATTATAACCTTTATCGATTTATTCATTATGCCCAGATAACATGGGTTTTCCCAATCAATTGGCCTAACTCATAAAACTCAGTCCAGCATCAGTAAACATCATTTTCTTATAATCGTTCACACAGGACCACACTCTCACTAAGTTCATGTTCTATTATATCAATAAATTAAATTACAAGTACTCATAAGGTCTTTAATGGCCACACACACCCAACAGTACTTACATATACTACCAACAGTCACAAGTTAAATGCACGCCCTTAACTCGATGGTTGCTCTTAATAACAAATATATCATTCCAGATTAATAGGCTCTCTAACTCATCTATAATAACTTGGGTTGCCATCCCCCCCTGCAATAGCAGCCATGCGCGCCTCATACTTTGGAGTAATCTGGGGATCCAGAGTCTACTCAATTGGAACCGATAATATAGCTTTTTATAACCAAACCCATTACCCAATGGAATACTACGCCTCTTTCTTGGAGGCCATTGCTCTCTACAAGAAGTCCTTCAACTCTGTCTTGGACGCCCTATTGCTCTCCCTTTAGAAGGCAACCATTCCTATAACCAGTAATAGGGTGACTCCACAAACTAGGAGAACTATCTCTTTTCATCCCTTATATAAAAATCATGGAGGCTTCCTTCTTGCTTTTCAAAAAAATCCATTTTATTTTTTATTTAAAGGCTATAATACCCTAAATCTTTTGAGATAAATACTTTGGCTATTACCAAATCTAAGAACTTTCTCCACCCATCATTGAAGATATTGGGTGGACGTGTTCATGTAGTACACAAAGGTATGGATAAAAAGTCAATATTAGTTCATTGTTGAGCAATAAACCGTGGCTTCAACTCCCGGCAAACATATTTCTCCTTTGTAGCCAATCCCAATAGTTGGAAAAGGTTCCGATGACAATGATGTCTAAAAAAGTGGAGTAAATAAAAGGTCTAAGAAAAATAGAGCATCCAAAATCATTGAGAACAAACAATGCGATCATTTTGCACGAGTCAGAAATCTACAAAATAAGTATGTGTGTGGGCGCATGTGTGTATGTTAGAGGATACTCTAATCAAATTAACTTTCAAAAAAAATGGAAAAAAAAAAAAAGAGAGAATTATATTTGCACTGAAAATAATCAACTGATAAATTAATATTGATAGCCGGCTGGCTGCTGCTCAATGGGAGATTTATTCTGTTGTGAATTGACAAAAAAGACAAGGAAGAAGAAGTTAAATGTAAATTTTATTGTCAAAAAAAAAAGAAGTTAAATGTAAATTTAGAAAAATTATTGATATACGTTCAAAATAACCATATTTTTTAAATTATTTTGAGAAAGGCACCTTTCAAACTTTGCTTAAAAAATGATACTACTCTTCGAATCATTTTGGTCTAGTTGGATTTTGGTGACATGTCCAATTTAACATCTGACGGCTTGAAAGATATTAAATTTCCATCCAAACCTCAGCCGTGCTCATTGTATGCGTTACCCTGAATTATACTTGCTCAAGGGGCCATTTTCTTTTCCCTTTCTATTTTTTTTATTTTTCTTTTGAACGTAATGATCTTATCTTATTGTATTAACATGTATGTAATCACATTCTCTTGATTGTGTTAGCATGGATGCCAATTCTCCAAGCACATATGATTTTAGGTGTGGTTTGTACGAGGCTGAGGCCCCAAACAATTAAAGTAAGGTGTACGTTTAAAAAATCTCAGAATATGTTTTTCGGTACTGGAAATCGTTGTGATGTTTTGAAACTTTATTTTCAAATCTAATTATAAACTTTAAAGCTTCAAAAACAGTATACATTAAACAGATTTAGGAACACTTGAAAAATCTTTAAAACTGTTTCGAAGACTTGGAACCATTTTTTTTCATGTCCATACATTCTGAAGTCAAGATGAGCAATTTGAAGATTTTTAAGCATTACAATAACCTTTTCTATTGGATTTTAAAGTGCACTTTAATTTAGTTGTTAGAGCCTTGCCCTTATATAAATTTTTTCCCTTACTCATTTTATCCTTTGCATTTTATTCAAATCCTTCCTGAAGCACACTTATGACCCGTTTGGTTTTTTGGATTCAGATTTATACGAGTCACATTTCCTAGAAAAGAAAGGAATAATCATGCTTAATTCGCTTATAATTGACACTTATATTGGAATAGAGATTTATGTAAGATTCCTGAATCTGCATTTTAAACCTAAATCATGCAAATCTCAATTCCACCAAAATAGATGGAACTGACATTTCATGAAAACGACCCGTTTTTTCACGGATCCATATTACAATTTTGGAGAGAAACTAAATCAAATTTTAGAAACAGAAGTACATGAATTTTTTTAAGGAGATACTACATAAAAAAAAATTTAAAGAGGAAAACTATGTCAAATTTTAAGTTTTAAAGCGAGCATCTAAAAATTTTAAGAGGGAAACTAAATCAAATTTTAGAGAGAGAAGTACTTAAAATCTTTTAGGAAGAGAAAATACATAAAAAAATTTAAAAAAAAAACCATCTCAAATTTTAAGCTTTAAAGAGGGCATCTTAAAATTTTAGAGAGAGAAACCATCTCAAATCTTAAGTTTTAAAGAGAGAGAATACCTTAAAATTTTAGAAAAAAACTAAATTAAATTCTAGAGAGGAACTAAAAAAAAATTTAAAAAACTTCTAAAACAAATAACTATCACAAATATTAAGTTTTAGAGAGTGAAAGTATCTTAAAATTCTAGAGAGAAAATTGATATTAAAATTTAAACAAAATAACTAATTCAAAATTTATTGAGAGAAATATCTCAAAACTTTTACATATACAAACTACTTCAAATTTTAATTTTTAGAGAGTTTATTAACTAAAAATAGAAACCATATCAAATTTTAGATAGATAAACTACATGAAAACTTTTAGAGAGAGAAACTATCTCCCATTTTAAGTTTTTAGAGAAAAAATATCTTAAAACTTCAAAGAAAGAAGCTCTATCATATTTTAGATAGAAAAGTACCTACCTAAAACTTTTAGAGAGAAATTATCTCAAAATTTAAGTTTTAGAGAGATAAAGCATTTAAAAATTTTGGAGGAGAGTAACCATATTAAATTTTAAAGTGAGAAGTACTTAAAATTTCTTAAAGAAACAAACTATCTCAAAAATTTAGAAAAAAACTATCTCAAATTTTAAGTTTTAAATAAAAAAAGTACCTTAAAATTTTAGAATGAGAAACTATATCAATTTTTAGAGAGAGAAACTGCTTGAAATTTTTTAGAGATAAACTATCTTAAATTTTAAGTTTTAGAAAGAGAAAGTACATCAAAATTTTGGAAAGAAATTTTATCAAATTTTAGAAGAAGCACCTAAGAGTTTTTGAGACGGAGTATCTAAAATTTATATTTCCAGAAAAAAATTATTCGCAATCCAAACAGTGAATTTGTATTTTCCCAGTTTTACCGCATGCAATCCAAACAGGATGCACCATATTCCAGGAAATGCCAATTCCAGGATATACATTTCTACAAGATTGACAAATTCATGGGAAACAAACAAGACCTAAAAAATTTTCGGATGACCTTTGAATGAACAAACGATGATGTACAAACTACAACATTCTTGTGAATAGTAATTTATGCGCAATGTATGCAAGTCCTGCACAAATGGATGTGTGCGCCTCAAGTGTCATTAAATGGCGTAGGAAGGAGCAAAAGCTACTTGGTCCTTGCGAGCCATTTGGCTACAGATTATGGATACATAGCTCATATTAGCTTCATCCATGTCTATCGAGAAGCCAATGAGGAAGTCAAATCAGATACAATTACTAAAAACCACACTGAAAGCATACTATAATTAAGTAGCCCAAGTACATATTAACAAAGTTTTTGCAGTTTCATGATTACCATCCACCACAATAATTCCTAACAAACCATATTTAAAAGTAACTAGCCATACTAATACCAGACTGTATAGTAAGTTCTAATTGAACATAACCATCCTCACTCCATCATCCCCACTCTAACCAATCTGCAACCTATGACTATGAAAAAGCTTCTCTTTTGTAACTAATTCCGATTGCTCACCTACTTTTAAAAGGGTACAAAAGCGCCGCCCCTCATCCAATGCCGCGTTGTACCATAACGGCAAAAGAGCCCACCGTTCAGCATGGAAACGCCACTTGCAAAGCCTCCATCTTTATTGTTGATGGGATTCCAAAATCCAACAGGTGAAACCGGCCACCTAACTGATAGATACCTTTCATCAACATCGGCTCCTCTCGTTCTATAATAAAGGCAAGCATATTAGCACTCTACTACAATGAGTGGAGTGATCAGAAAGTGTAAAGCTTTGGCTTGAATTTCACATCTGATAGCGAGAAAACAAGAACAGCTTTCCTTTTTGGTGGACAAGGCAAGTAAGTGATACACTAGCGCTTCAAATATATGAAAGCATGATGATACATATAGACGTACCTGCTTCAAGGGCATGCGCCGGCAAATGTTTCAGTGACCATCCATGCTCCAAGAAAAACATACACCACTGATAGGTAGGCATAAGGCAGAGGTCCCCCAATTCAGAAGCAACGGGCCGATTGCAAATCACCATGTCGGCAAATCTCGCCAGCCTCCAAACACAGAAGGAAAAGCATTAGCAAGCCCTCAACAGAAACTCAAACCCAGTTATTATTCTGATAAGATAAAAGATACTATAACCTTATGCACAGTGGAAAAAAGATGTTCCAATGATCATATCACCACCCATTTCAATGATCAATGGTGAAGGGGAGTGGGAACCAGCACGGAGGTCATGCCATGTTCTGGTGGGTCCCACTTTATTTCCACGACCATCAACCATTGCATTGCAATTGAGAGTGATGACCATGTAGCTTCCCCATGGTCCAATGGATTACTACTACATAGAGGTCAACAACATCCAATCAGTTCATCGGATCATGGAGGAGGACTTGAGCATGCAAGTGAAATCATGACATATTGGCAGGACACCCTCTCCCTCCATCCCATCCAACCTATTGATGGGGCAAGTGTCATCATGATCACATAGGTCATGATATATTTCCCATGATAGAAAAGGAGAGCCAACATTTTTCTTAAAAAGAAAAGCAACCTAATGAATCAGAGCCAAAACAAGGATAAGATAACATACTTGTTGTACTCAACAGACGAGTATAATATATAAGCTTCTCATACAAAGAACCGACCCGACCACAGAGACTGCCCTTGCTGTTGTTCTGGCAGCGAGGTGGAATGAAGGCTCCCTTGCTGCTGGGACTGTTCTTGATAGAGCTTCAGCTGTTCAACAAGCTGACGCCGTGCCTGCAACCTTTGCTGGTTTTCCAGTTCAGCCTGCACACTTGGGACCTGTTTGCCAGGAAAAGGGAAACTCGATAACACACCATTCAACGAATTATTGGCATCCTCAGCAAGCACAAAAGGAGGGCGCGACATAGGTGGAACCCCATTGTTTTTCCATTCCATAGCATTGGTTGAAGACGGCTCATATCCATCTAACCAACTATAATCATCCAAAAGGGGCTGCTCATTTTTCATATTTGAACCAGGCTTAGGGATGTTGTCTTGTTGCTTGATGGGAGGAACTGGGCCGAACCCAGGAGGTGGCCCAAAGTGCCTAGTAACTGGCCGGCTAACTGCGCTTTTTCTAGCCCAACCAGTTGATGCTTTTGTGGTTATGGAATCAGTATTTACACCACAGGACATGATGGAATCCAGCTTGGAGGGAATCACTGTTTCTAAAACTTTAGACTGATTTGATGATGAATATGGAATAGGGGAGGAGGCTAATGAGGGGTAAGAAACACCAGAACCTTTGAGGGGATCCCACCCAACATTTGACCCCTTGAAATCAAAACTCAAGTTTGCCATTCCATTCACATAACGATCTTGGGGGTCCATATGCCATGCTGAAGTAGTCGGGTTGATTTGTTGAAAAGGTTGTTGCATATTACTTGGAAAAGTAGGTGGCTGTCCTAATGGATCATGTTGTAATGGCAGTCCGATGCTACTTGGATAGGTAGCTGGCGAGGTACTTGGATAGGTAGCCGGTGAATTAGTTGCAAAGGTTGCTGGTGATACAAAATTGATGTTTAATGGATCACTCGAGAGTGGAGGAGGTGCCACAGTCACTTCATAATCAGTGAAATCACCACCATTGAAAGAAATCTCAACAGTCTTGGGGACTTCAAAAGAAGTTAGTTTTTGAGGCGTCATTTCAGAATGATTATCAGTTGATGTAGGCTTGAAAACAATCACTTCATCCTCTTCATCTTCAACTTCCGCATAGAGTTGCACCTTAGATTGCAAGGCTGCTCCCAAGTTTCTGATTTCCTCTGATTGGGTTTGTTGCTTTGGCTCATTGCCCTTTGGGGCATGTATAAAGCTTGCCAGGTCATCTTCTTCAACTCTTGGGGGCTTAATACCAATGCCAAACCTGTTCGACTTCTCATCGAAATAGAGCCCTTGTTCATCAACTTTAACTACATTAGTAAGAGCCTTCCCAGCAGCTAAAATCCTTTGAACACGGACAGTTTTCTCCTTCTTCCCACCATCATCACCAGGTGAGTACTGCCTCGAGAAGTCCATGATAAGCTGAGATGGGGCAAGAGGAAGAAACCCTCTCAACTCAAAATCTTCCCAAAGGGCCAAACAACCTCCAGATTCACCTTCAATATAGCTACCCATCTCCATGGATCCATTATCACCATCCATGCCCACAACTCCACTCAGAATAAGCTTGTTCAAGAAGGATATACATTGATGCCAAAAAAACGATCTAGCAACAGCCTCTCTCTTCTCAACCTCACTGCCAGAGGCTATATCAGGACGACAAGCCAACCACTCGATAAAGACCAGAACACTGGCCAGAAGAGAACTCGAAGAGATGTCCTCTAGGTCAATGCATTTCTTGAGAATGCGGCCCACAAACTCAAAGGCTGCAGTGAATGCGTTTTGAAGAAGTACCGAGCGCTGCAAGATCTCAGCATATGAATGACCCTCAGCCTCCCTGTTTACATTATGCACTGTGAAGATGAGAATAGCAATGACCCGAACAATAAACAGTCCATTTTCATCAGCATCTGAAGCAAAACCCAGCTCTTCTTCAGGCCCGTTAGAAAGGAGCTCCTCGAATTCATTGATTAACAAAGAGAAGATATCGTCAAATGTTTCCAAGCTGGAGGAACAACAGAACATGTAAGAGTTGCTTCCTACAATAGAACTTCTTTCTGATGATAAGGTTGATAAGAGAATTTAGAATTCTTTATAGGGAAATTTACCTAAATACCCATGAGAGATGTATTATATAGCATTTTTAGCCATGTCTTTTGATTTAATTTCAAAACAACATCAAAAGACACATGATCACAAGTGGAATACTAGCAATTGGGAAAAAATGTTAAATAGATCCTCTCTTACGGGTCGATAAATTTCCCTTCTTCATAATATGAGCCTACGTACCTTGTGCGAGTGAAAAGGATTCCATTCAACCGAACAAATCGTGTACGAAAGGTGTTATTGATCTCAGAAATGCTCCTGGATTTCTCCTTTGCAGGAGTGCCATCTCTTTTGGAATCTTTGGCAAGAAGCCTAGCTTCTACCCTACCCCGTCCTCGACTAGCAGTCCTCACTGGAACAGTCTTAGCTGTAGAAACCTTGGTATCCAAAGGCAACTCTGAGTAACTCAGTCGATTCTGTAAATATAGAAATTAAATAAGATTACATACATCATTCAGGTAAAAATTAAGCTAAAGGAGCCAAGAACAAGTATGCCATCACCAGGAGGAGAAAATATTAAAAACACGGACAAGGAGCAATACCAAGTAGGACATGACTAATCAAAGCAACAAGCTGTATATAATAGGTACAAAACTCTCTTACATAATAATATTATCGAAGGCCACCAATACGCTCTTGCTTCTGGCCATCAAAAACAGTATGCCCAGAGCCTCAGACCTCATGGGCAGCCTGACAGCCCATGAAACCTTAAAGAAAACCGTCCTGGAGTTTTGAGCATTTTTTGCTATTCTGCTCCTTATAAGGAGGGGGAAAAGGAAGGATACGTACGAATTCTTATGCCACAGACCTCCACCCCCAGACAATACACCCCATGACCCCCCAATAATGATAGCAATTTCTTAGTTTTGCAATGAAGAATTAGATTAACACCTTTGAGATTTCTCCACATAGAATAAAAAACTCTGTATTAGAAAATTACATACCAAACCAAGATTTTGGCTTCAATCTAAAATATATTCTTAAGAGGAAGAGTTGTAGAATGTGACAAGGCCATAAAACCTTCCCAATCATAATTTAGATATAAAAGATATATTGAATAATTATTAACTTGTGCATATTATAGAAGTATACCACCATTTACGAATTCTAAGCAGCCGCTTGAATGGCCTAAGTGAGGCATGCTCCTCGTGAAGGGGTTTAATAACGTTGCACAGGAAAGATGTTAAGCACAATAAAACTTCAATCTAATTTCCTCCTAGTCCTTAATGTCTACAATCTCATTCATCTTGCAAATTTTGCAATACCGAAATAGTAACCAACAATTTTAGCCTATGCATACTTGAACCAAGCTAAACAAAAGCAGAAGTTGCAAGTGGTCATCTGGATACAGCATATTTGCAAAAGCTAAAATGTTCAGAATACAACCATAACCTTTCCATGTAGAGTTTCTGCAGAATGGTCAACTGATTCCCTTCCCCCACCATGAAACACACTATTGATAATAAAAAACTTCAATCCTGATCGAAGTTCATAGTTAAACATGTTAACCGTCCAAGATGTTAAACATGTTAAACATCTCAAGTAGTTCAAATTTGAAAATAAGATAAACAAGAAGGATAAAAAACCTGGATGTGGTCCTTCCTCCAACCCACCAAGATTAAAAAAAAAAAAAAGGACACAAACACTGGACTCATGGAAAGGTCTTTTCTAAAAATCCTACAAGTAATTTAAACTTGAAAAATAAGATAAAGAAAAAGGACAAAAAAACTTGGATGTGGTCCTTCCTCCAACCATCCCTATTGAGAAATTCCCACCATCATCTACATAAAAAATATGATAAACCAGCCGAACCAATCAGAAAGAAAGAAGAGAGAAGAAAAAACAAGCCAAGTCCTAAACAACTACCTTATCCTTCCTACCACTTTTCTCAAGGTAAATAATTGATACCACCCTAAACAGCAGCTATTCATTCACTCATCCTTATCGAATATTCATCATACAAGTGGCATCCATGCCCCCCCTGCGCTCTCTGAAAACAATCTGCTATTCCAAGAAACAACTAAAAAGTCAAACTATCCACAAGAAAGCCTTTCAAAAATTCAAAATTTTATGTCCCTTATAAAGCCTTCCCACATATTATGTTTTCTTGTCAACTTCCCCTTCTTTTCTATCTTTTTCCATTCACAAACAAGACAAGAATCAGTTATTAGTTAGCAAAGTGGCCCTAACTTTGAAGTCGAAATAAGATTGGCAACACGTCTAGAATATGAAGCCAACAAAAGGTTCCAACAACCAAGAATCACTCTAGACATGATTTATTCAAAAATGAGGCCAAACAAAAGATTCCAACAAATAAAAATCACTATCGTCATGATTCATTCTCAAATCCTCAATAAGTTACCCAACACAGATGAACAAGTCACTATAGTGAGGAATCAAGTTTTCTCAATAAATTACTAATTTGTCAAAACAAATGTTACTGCTGATAAAATAAACTGCCATTTTAGAAGAATCAAGTAAAACAATGTGTAAGTTTGATAAGCAAAATTGATAGACCGTATTTAGATTATAAACTCCTCATAAACAAATGTCATTTTCCAGAATACAAACTAAAACATGATCATACAAACTGCCAAGATGATAAACTCCATAATTCAATTCAAATGCATCAGAAAACAAAAAATATTGATCATCTCTCTGCTTCTGATCATGGATAAATTTTGAAACAGCAATCTTTGCAGTATGATATAGAATTAAACAGATGTGAATGGCAATGTACCTTATCAAACATGACAATCAGATTGTCCCTGGCTGTGGAAAAAGGGGTCTCCACTGCCAAACTACGGGAATATCGGTATAGAGCCATCAACTCATCTCCCATTAATAATGCCAATATTGCAAGCTGAAAAGGAATCAATTACCAATGTGAAGAATATTTTAAGGTATGTGCATAGACAACTGTATCTGAGGAACAAAAAATAGAAATCTGAATTTTTAAATCTTCCCATAACTCCTTTTCCATCCAATTTTCCTAAAATTTCCCTCTAAACGAATGAGTGACTTTAGATTCCTAGATCATCTGTCTCCTCACATTCCATTCCAAGTTCTCAATCCCTATCTTGAAGCACATTCAAAAAAATTATCTCTATCTCTAGCCCCAATCAATTCCTATATACTCTCTCAAAAGTGTAGAAGACGTAGGACTCCCATTTAATGTCTTTTCTAAGATTTCAAATCTTGTATTTCAAATTTGCATTAATTATTTTTAAAACAAAGAATATTCATAATTGAAAACCTAAAAAATATAAATGGATATTATAAATAGGAAACTTTTTTTTTTTTGATAACGGTTAACATTGTATTGCTATGGGAGTTTACAAAGAGTAAGACTGTAAGCACACCCTCCCTGAGTGGCTAACAGTAAATAAATAATAGTTGAGAATAGTTGTAGACTTCAATTATTTCTATCTTGGAATGAATTAATGAATAAATAAATAATAGTACCTAGTACCTAAAATTTGGTAAAATGGATATAATAGGATTCGTTTCTGCAAATTTCAAATCTCTAGTTATAAAATGGCATTCATTATGTTTAAGACAAATGGTATTTCATAATTTAATATGTAAAAATGTTTATCATACATTTGATTTTATAAATAGAACAAATCTTAAGAAGAGTTGAAAATTCAATTGTTTGATGAAGAAACTCACACAAATGTGAGCCTCATGCAATGGACATGTTATTAGCTAGTTTATCACTAAATGAAGAAACTATAAAATAAGATGAAACATCAAGGTTATCCATAAAATGAGTTACCAAACCAACATCAAATAACAACAGAAACAGACCTGATGATGAGCATTCCCACTTGTAGGCAAAAGACGAGAAGCCTGTACGTAGTAACTCAATGAAGCTTGGAAATCACGGTTGATTGAATCACCTTCTCCAAATGTTCCCTTGTAACGTGCAAGGTCTCCCAAGTAAATCAGACAACGGTGACAGGACATAAGTCCTTTCTTCATGTAAGCAGACTTCTCATCTTTGCTTAAGATAGTCTGAGTCTCTGCACTATCAGAAAAGTAACCCAGAGGCAGCCCATACTTCGCTCTAATTTTCACAATCAGGTCATGATAGAAACCAGTTGCCTCGGACACAAAACTTTTAAAGACAGAACGAATTTTATTGATTTGGTCACGTCCCACTAAGCCTTTCCCCCCTGGAGGAGGCAGATTCGCTCCTGTAGAAGCAGAAGCAACACGAAGTCGAGCTCTAAACTCGTCAATACGCTTGTGATGCATTTGCCATAGAACGTACTCAATGTCATGAGACTCAGAAAAATCATGATCCTCAAGGATAATTGCTTCATAGTTCTCACGCATCTGTCTCCATATGTTAGGATCCGAAGGAACTTTTGACTGGATTGACTTCCTCAGGGCTTTCTCCGACTCAATATTCTGTGAAAGATGCAAATTTGCTTTTCTCAATAACCAAAGAGATGAACACAAAAATGAAGAAGCATCGCATATCAGGATAAATTGATATCTAACTAAGGTGGCATCACCTTATTATCTATATAAATGAATGTCTATATGTATCAGGCCTATATATGTATCTGTCTGTATGCAAACAAATCTCGTAGGCATCTAAAGAAACTAAATATTGTAATGTTAAACATCAGGTAAGTATGTAGTTGTACTGATGGCTACAAAAGCACATGTACATTAACTAAAGCCTTCCCAAAGGGCCACCTATAATCTCAGGCACCCCGTCTCACTGGGCAAGGAAACCAAAAAAGCCTCAAGAGTCTAATTTTGATCTGAAGAGAAGGTTCCCCAAATCCAACCGTCGTTCACATAGGGTCCAGACTGATTATGGGGTGGCAGCAATTCCGAATGCAAAATTGATCTTCCTTGGGGGAAAGTGAGTTTGGAGAACTGCAGCTCTCTGAGGTCCAACACTACGCCAGGATGAGGTGGGAAACACCAGATAAGCCAGGATGAGGTGGGAAACACCAGATTTTAGTGGTCCTCTAGGACCATCAAAAAATCCCCCACATACGTACATGCATACATACATTCATGCATATATACAAACACACGCACGAATGCACACAGTCCTCAACATAAATTTATGACAGATCCCACATCTTTAATTAACAAAACAAATGTTTTTACTGAACTCTGCCAACTCGATGCATTCCATAAAAGCTAATATACTAGAAAAACCTAAAACCACAAACTATAGAAAAGCATTCCTTTTTTTTGGGTAAGTACTATAGAAGAGCATTCAACACTCTAATTGTCCTACATGTTTCACGATTAGATATATAATAAAGCCTCAAAAACCAACTTTAAAACAAAAGTAAACAAATAAAGTGCAAACCTTAAAAAAAAAAAAAAGGGGAAATCCCTCATCTCTTTCCAAATAAATGTCCTCAAAACATACAAGAAGTACAACAAATAAAATAAAAGTAATTGCTAATGAAATCAAGAATCAGTTTAAATCTCAGGTCAAACTGATAAAAAATGCTTCCAGTGTGTCATGCATCATACGATCACACAGAAAACACGAAGAGTATATGGTTTCCAAGCAAACAATAAATACAGCCCTCACAGGCATGTGCAGAACCCAGACTATTACATAACATGATGTACCTAAGACTTGGTGTCTTTGGCACCAAGATTGATACTTTTTTTTTTTTTTGGCAAACACCTCTCCATTATATGCAAATATCACCATACAAGACCTAAGAAAAAGTGGGATCCAGTTTGAAGTACAAAAGTCCAAACCATTCATTCAAGTGCCAATGGGCTTTCCATGGAAGCTTTTATGCAAGCACTTTTGTTAGGGTGTACTTGTATCGTTTAAGGCACTTCCAAATGTTTTAAGACTTGCAACTGAAAAAAATTGAGAATGCGAGTATTCTAAACCACTGGTCGCATCCAAGCTACATCTACGAAGATGTATTTTGTACGGTTGATGAGCTTTTATTTGATGCATATATTTTTCTTCATAAATTTAGGATGCGCGACAATCACCGAGTACAAGTCCACCACAAGGCCCTTCCCACAATCAGGGGTTTCTATCAATAATGCATCCCTCTATTTATTCCTTCTATGGAAATTGGGCTCCTATTGTTTCTGTGAGGCTCTTGCTTTTCCATGAGATGTTGAAATTGTCCTAGCTTACTCATAGCTATTGTCCCATTAGATAACAGAAGAGAAGTACATGATCCCACTAACTACAGATTTCCCATGATCAATCATTGACTGCATCAATACTCAAGAACCAATCAAGATTTCAGATACTTCAAAAAAAAAAATACATGAGCACCCAAACCCCCCACGATCACCCGACCCACTCACACACGCCCTCCCCCCCACCCCAAAAAAAAACCGGAAAAAAAAAAGGAAAGAAAACTGCTCAGGTGCTCCCTCAAAACATTGACTATATATCCATAACTTACTTACGATCAAATTGCTAAATACAACAAACAATTACTTCAGAAACCAATTTTGAGTTAGAACTTAGAAGACTTAGAAGAGATCAACATTAGGTCTGCAACTAAGAGAAAAATACAGTTTCACAGTCTTCACAAAAACATTTACATACCTTCTTATAAAGACGTTGAACAAGCTCCCGGGATGACGGAGCAGACACATTCTCCATTGGAATAGTCATTGTCCATCAAATACGTATAAATGATGCTGGAAGGTCAACATAGACAGCTTCAATTTCTGATCAGCATCAAAAATCTGAAAGAGTACCATAAACAAGATGAACTGGTGCAACGATCATAACTAAAAGAGAATAAAATACTGCCCAAACATCCAAATACTTTCAATTATCCATAAAAGAAGGAAAGCCAGATTTAAATCTAGAATGATCCAAACTTACTCGATCTTCTATGAAGGCAACTTAATGCAAAAATGACGCAATGATGGCTCCTAGTCCTACTCAATAGTCTGAGTTACATAAAAGAGGAAACCTAGATGTTACAACTCACTTAGCTCAGAGTGAGAAAGTGAAGGCTAAACTTCAAATGAAAAAAATAAAAATACAAAATGGAAATAGAGGGAGATAAAGAACACCAGAGGCTTGAAAAAGGTCTTCTAAGGCTAGTGCACTGTCATAAACTGGAAGAAAATTCTTTACAATTATCAATAAATGGATGATGGAAACAATTTGGTGACTTAAATTTCTAAAATGGGTTACATAAACATAAAAAAGACAATTTATAAAGATGGTTGAACGGAGGAAAGTAGAGATTTTTTAGGCTATTAAAGATCTTAATGAAAGTTGGTGATCTTCTATTAAAACTTTCAATGATGTACGACACATGCTCCTAGCAATGTAAACTCCATGGCTAATAGAATTTGCAAACATGGTCTATTAAGAAATTTGCAAACATGGTCTATTAAGAAATAGCTTGCTATCAGATAAAATTCCACTGTAGAGTTAGTCGCTTCAGTTGTATATTTATTTATTTTTAATCTTTTATAAAAGGCTTATTACCAATGAAAACGTAATGGTAACTAAATAGTAAATACATGAATGTCTGCACAAGCGAGCAAGGCATGAGGAGGGATCTAAACAGTCACTGGGCACCAGGGGGGGGGGGGGGGATGGCAGCCTAGGTGGGGTACGGGTACCTCACTCCTAAGGCACCCCAGCCCTATGCATATATATGTATATAGCAGACATTTATATGCATATACTGTATATAATTACATAAGATGTACGTAATTAACTAATAAATTATACGTTACTTATTATATATATACAACATTTGTATAATCTATTAAAAATTAAAAATTTGAATGCATTGTTGAAAAAGTTGGCCACAAAACGCCTAGGCAATCTTGCTCCGAGGTGCCACCCAAGCAATCACCTCAAGGTGGCCACCTAGGTGGCACCTCGATGCAACTTGGCCGAGGGCACAAAAGGCCCTTGGCCAAGGGCAAAAAAGTACTTTCCTATGTGCTTAGTGCAGCCCAAAAAAGGGGAAAAAAAAAACAAAGGTAAACTCCCTTAAAAAATAAAAAAAAATAGTTACGGCCTATAAAAATAGGTAAAAAAATAAAAAATAAAATAAAATAGTTAAGGCCTATAAGAATGGTTAAGGGCTTAAGGCCCTTCTCTCGCTCACAAGCCCATGTGCTCTCTCTCTCTCTCTCTCT